TGGGGAAACCCTCGCCTGCAACTCCTTGAGCCAAAGTAAGGAGGTTCTAACGAAAAAAGAGGTGGCAGTGGCCGCATTACTGGCCCAGGCATTAGCTAAGTGTGTCTGGTGGAAATTTCATTCCACCTTCCTGTCCTTAGCCTTCATCGCCTCAGCAATGTCTCCAGAGACAGCTGAAGAGGAAACAAGGAAGGCTAGGGGATCATCCACCAAAGGCAGCTCTAAGACGTCTGACAAGGAAGGAGCAATATTAAAATGCCTCCTGTCATTTCCTCCCAGCTTGGGGAATATGCCAGGCTGGTTCCACAGGTGTGGTCAAATTGGTCCCAATCTGGGCTGTGGCTGTAGCCTTATGAAGGAGGGACTTAAACAATGCTGGACGAAAAACTCCAGTGAAAGGGGGGAATCCAGGACCAGCTCAAGGTCATCGTCTGCAAAGCCTTGTTCTATCTGGTCGGGTTCCTCTAATACAGATGCCTACTTCTGAGGGAATGGGCGGGAGATGTAGACCCATGAGCCTGCTCAGCCTCCCTAGGATACATATAGTGATGGGACAGTTGTGCAGGGGGCTCAGATGTAACAGAAGCAGAACAGCTTCTAAGATGCACTGTATTAGTTACCCACTGAAAAATAACCTGTGAAATGAGGAATTTGAGTTCCTCAGATAGACCAGACCCCTGTTTATCTACAGGGCAGAGCCCAACAGCAGTGGGCGTGAAGGTTGCCTCGGGAGTAAAGTCCCTACCCCTGCCCTGAGGTTCTATCCCCTTTGCTAGGCAGTTAAAGGGAACTGCTCTGCAGCCTGGAGATTGTCAGTTGGAAACACAGAAAACTGTTCCCTATTGCCCTCTGGAGACCACTTCCTAGCCTGCAATGTTGGCTGGGGGTGGTGGTGGAGCAACAGTTTCTGTTAAGACAGGAGAAGGAATACTTTCCTGATGAGCCTGCTTTTCTACTCTGGCAATCTGCCTCTCCACAGCCTTCATTCTTCTGTCAGCATCTTTTTCTTCAGCTCTAGGTGGTGTCCTAGAGTAGATAGCCTTGGCTCTAATCTTGTCAGCTGCATCCTGACTGGCTGATCTGCCTCTTCTGGAGCTGGTCTTCCTGCTAGAAGCAGCTGAAGAATCTTCTTGCCCTGCCATGCTATTAGCCGACAGAAACTGATCAGCCATCTTGACAGCTTTCTTAGCCCAAAAAAGGAGTTGCTGTTCTGCTTGCAGCCAGAAAAGGGGCTGTTGATGTTTAAATGGCAGTGCTCCTTTTTAAAAAAAATTAGGCGCAGTGGTGGCAAACTAGCACACAACTCCTGTAGCCACGCTTCTCTCCAAACTCAATAAGGCAGAGTAGGCTGAGCAGAGTGACTTTAACAGCCAAGAGTCCCCAAACAGGTTTGTCAGTCAAGCCAACAACTTAAACAAGCGGCTTGCAAGGAACCGCTAAATCACCCTATCAAAAGTAAAAGTGCTGAAAAACAGCTGAGAAGCGGCTGCGGCGCTTGAAAAAGTGGCGCCTGGGTTCGTGGCACATCAGGGATACAGCGGCTGCCCTTGCATGGGGAAAAAAATCCCTCTGGTTGAAGTAAGGCTGGCAGCAAGCTGTGGTATAGGCAAGACAACGAACAAAGGAAAAAAAGGAAAACAAGCCTCTGTAGCATTTTGAAGTGTTACGTAGCAAACTTGACAGCACAAGAAGTCAATTTAGCATAGGCAGTGTTTCTATTCGGAGAACTACGAGCCAATCTTTTGCCACAATCTCTCAGGGAAAGACTGAGTTGTGAACTGGGGAAAGTGACAGTTCAGTCTCCAGGCAGAAAGGCATACATCAACCCATCCATGGATTCTCCAATCGTCGTGCTGGAGAATGTGGGGTCCTTGGTCCTCTCTGAGCTTGGTTGTTTTCTTCCAGATATTTCATTACCCAAACTAGGCAACATCAGCAGTGCTAGTTTGCTCTCAATTTATATTCTGATGGCTTGCCCTGTCAGTATTGGTGGGAATGGTCTTAGAGGTTTTTTTTCCTGATTAATATGAAACCAACAATCATGAAGTGAACAATACCCTAATCAAAGAACTGCCAAATGATCCAATGGTAAACAGCTCAAACAGCCCAACTGACCACTAAAAGTATTCCTACCATAGCAAGCCACTAAAATATAAACTGAAACCAAACCCCACATCCTACCAGCACAGATTATCTTACATAGTTTGGGTAATGAAACTCTTCAAGATAACAACCAAGCACAGAGAGTACTAAGGATTTTTCAAACTGTGTTGATTTCTCCTAGTCAATCAGAGAATATAGTCCTTACACATAAAGGTACTGCAAAAATATGCACAAGGATATGTGAATGAATATACCGTTTCTGTCCAATATGAGATATCCCCTAAATGCACATTCAGTTGAGCAGCAGAAAAGAGTATCTATAAACATTAGATTATATATACTAAAAAAGCTTTTTTGCAAGCTAGATTTTAACAGAGGAATGGAAAACGTCTAGCCTTATAGATATTACTGAGGCAGAGCAGAGCAGCCAACTAATCGGCAGATGTGAGGGATGCTGGGAGCTCTAGTTCAGCAACAGGATGCTCAATGATCTCATTCACTGCAACATGATGAAGTATTATAAGTAGACTGATGATATCCAATTATATTTCTCTACCCTGGAAAACTAAATGAAACCACATTTCATTTACCCCATGGAAGCTATGAGTTATCTGGTTTTAATCTTTAAAGTCTTTATGATATGCGACAAGGTTATGCGAGGGGCTTAGTTACATCAGCCCATCCCATCAGAACTGACAGACAAGGTACGCTGCAAGTACCATCAACTAGTATCTACATTTGGTGGGTATTAGGAGATGTGCTTTCACTGCCATCATGCACATTTTATGAAATATTTTGACCCAAAATTAGATTAACTCCATTCCTTTTGATATTTTGTAACTGTCTTAAGACGTGTGTTATGTTATTAAGGCTTGAGGCTCCTAGGGAACTGGAGACAAGCTTTGATGGCTTTATTGTGGAGGAGGTGATTCTTATCCCGTCTTTCCCTATGGTATATATATATTTGTATTTATAATATTTAACTTTTAACATAAGATTTTAATGTAGATTTTCTGTTGTTTTATTCAATTACTTCATGCAACTCAGTGAGAAATGGTTGCCTATACAAATTTGATTAATATTTTAGTTCCATATTATAAAGTTTTTAAATTATCATCATGTTTGGTCACATAGCCAGCCATATTAAATATTAAATATGGCATTTTTGTCAAGTTACTATTTTTATTTCTATTACATTACCATTTTATTACTTACTTATTTTAGATTAGTGACTGTCTCCTGACCCAAGCAGATAAATCATTTGTACAAGCTGAAAATAATGAGTACCTGCAGAAAAATACTTACAGCAAAATCATAAACATAACCTGTTAGAATGAAGGTATGAACTACCTATTTTGTCATCTTCTGAAAGTAAAATATGATGGGGAATACCATGTTTCCCAGAAAATAAGGCTGGGTCTTATATTAATTTTTGCTTCAAAAGACGCATTAGGACATTTTCTAGTTAGGTCTTATTTTGGGGGAAATACGGTACTAAATGCATTCATCCGGCTGACAATCTTAACTGGGGCTTATTTTGGGGGTAGGGCTTATATTATGAGCAGGGGTGGGATTCTACCAGTTCTCACCTATTCACTAGAACCGGTTGTTACATTCTAAGCAGTTTGGAGAACCGGTTGTTAGAAGAAATTACTGGTCTAATCCTGTAAGGAAGGCAGGAAGGAAGCATTCTGGTGTTGCTTACAAAAACTGCCTCTCTGTTAACCCTTATTACATTCTTGGCAGGACTAGACTTCCTGTCTCTGGAACTTCTCTGGAGTTTTTTTTCCCTCCTTTGTTGGTACTTTGCTTGTGTGGAGTGACCATTTCAAGTTACAATGGCACTGAAAAAAGTGACTTATGACCATTTTTCACACTTACGACACTTGCTGCATCCCCACTGTCATGAGAGGCCAGGTGAGGAGATGCGTGCCTCGATGTGAGTGATGTTGAGTTGGCCACGCCCAGCCAGTCACATTGCCACAAAGCCACGCCCACCAACTAAGCCACGTCCACAGAACCAGTTGTTAAAAAAATTGAATCCCACCCCTGATTATGAGCATCCTGAAAAATCATGCTAGGGCTTATAATTCTAGTTGGTGTCAGCAGGTTTTTAGAGAAGTGGAAGTTTCTAAGTAAAATATGGCTTCCAAAGCTAATAGTTGGGTCTTATTTTGGGGAAAACATGGTAGTTCTCTGGACTGTATCAGGAATGTTACAATAAAATGAGAGATAATTTGCACATCATCCTCTATTTTGCAAAGATGAATACTTGTACATGTTCTTCCACAATATGGAGGGAAATAATTCTTTAGAAAGTTGGTATGGGAGTTCTGAAGCCTTGAGAGGGTTTCATGAAGATAGAAACTGGCAGTGTGAACTCTCATATCAGTCAACAGTAGAAATATGTAGTCCCCAACTTACAACCACAATTAAGCCAAAAATTTCTGTTGTTAACTTTTGTTCAGTGAGTTTTGCCCCATTTTACCTTTCTTGCCCTAGTTAATTGAATCACTGCAGTTGTTCAATAAAGCAAATGTTTATTTTAGCAAAAATAGAACACTAACAAAAATGAAGTAACAAGCAAGAAAGAAAAAATGAGTTAATCTTTGTAGACACTATATAAAAGTTATATTGAATGTCAATATTCTGATGGTAAAATACATATTCACTTAATGACTGGAAAAGGTAACTATCTGAGTAGTGTTCCAAAGTAATTTTAACTTGACTTCTCAGTTTTATTAATGTCCAACTTACAAAGCACTGCTTATTACAAATTTTACTTATTTGAAAACAAAACAACTTCTCTCCTGAAATGTATCTCAAAAGAAGCTGCCATTCCAAGATTTTCCAAATATTTTTAAAGTGCAACTGCAGTATAGAAATTATACACTCACCTTCATCAGGCTTGTTTCCATAACTCTGAAGGGGATCAATTCCTATTTCTTGCTCTTCAGTTTGCAAAGGATGGCTAGCTCCAGAAACAGAGTGATACATATTGAGATTTGACACGTCCAATAAGTTGAATTATCTGAATGAAAAATTAAAAGTAAATTATTAATCCATACTACCTACTATTCCTATTGTATTAAGATGTAAAGAAAATGCAGTATTTCATTCAGAAAATTATTAAGAATTTCTGCCTGGCACAGCTACTAATCATACTATCAATTACTAACAAAGTACAAACGATTGCAAGAAATGTGTATTATTATGCAATATATGTTTGCTTTTTGAAGAATGTCCCAATATTTCATATAAACACATAGAATCTTTTAATGACCACTTCTGCATTATTCTCAAGAAAAGTGAACAACTGTATCCATGTAGATCACCAATTGTGTTTGAATTTAAGAAAACTTTAAGTGTATTCAGTAGCAGACAAACTTAACAGAATTGTATTTGTGTTCACTTGTATGTTTTATTTATTTATTAAATTAATGAGTCCCCTCCATCCCATTTCACTGATAAAGTGACTCTAGAAAGCTTAAAAAGATAACTATAAAAACATTAAAAACATTAAAATTAAGAAGAATTATATACATACAAAACCAAGTGGCAGATAGCACTGGAATGAAATTTTCTTACATCATTAACCACCTCCAGCAGGAAGTGCCCTCATGGGCCCCAAGCCAATTGACAAAACCAGGTTTTAATGACCCTCTAAAAGGGCAAAAGGGTGGGAATATTCTCAACAGGACAATATAATATTCCACAAGATGGGAGCCACAATGGAAAATGTTATTGTTTTTAACTTTACCAGCTGGAATTTTCTACTAGGTCAAATGCACTGAAGGCATGAACCAGCAGGGAGTTTGATATGGCAGCAAGAATACTAACTGATTCCACAAGCCCAGTGTCACGAACAGAGTTTCACATTTGGAAACCTGAGGAGCATGATTTCCAAAGGCCAAAATAAATTATTGGATGACAACTATTACATCCTCTCCCTGAGGCCTTGGCTAGTGCAAACCCTAAACCCAACTGGACACATCTTTTCTGGAGTCAGCCAGATTGGCCTCTTCAGGGAGGTGACAAATAGGGAGGGGGATTTATTAGCTGATTTGGCATTCATCAGCAGCAACTGAAGGCCCTATGAAGGTCTACTCTCCAGGATCTAGACATGAGAGTGATAGAACATTATGCTGGTGTTAAATATTGGGGCATCTTTCCCTGCAATGGCCTGTTCTTTGGTTCCCATCTAATTCACATACAAATACAGGTTTTCCCCCTTCCTCACACTATAAGAATATCATCTTCACTTTTTATATTTCATTGGTAGATGCCATATGGATATGAAACATAATCCCAAGGTAAATATTTCCTTGTTTAGTATAGTTTCAATATGCTATAAAAATATAGTTTGGAGAATTTTGTCTATTATGCAAGTTCCATAAGTTTCTCATTAATTACAAAATGTTAATTACTGCTTTTTACATCATATGTTATCCCTTCCAGGTAAACCAGATAGGAAACACAACTAGAGAAGCTAGTCCTATTTTATTATAAGTAACAGCACCTTCCAAATTGAAGGTACAAATCTCCAGCTGCCACTTTAATTGCCTGATCAATTAGGTGGGTTCCTCCTAAATTTCTTGCTCTGACTGTAATAAACTACAGGTAATCCTTGATTTATGACTAAAATTGAGCACAAAATTTTTATTGTTAAGTGATACATTTATTGGGTGAGTTTTACTCCATTTTACAACTTTCTCGCCACAATTGTTAAGTGAATAATTGCAGCTGTTACATTAGTAACAAGATTGATTAGTGAATCTGGCTTGATTTCACTTGTCAGAAGATCGCAAAAGGTAACTGTCAGTGTAACTGTCATAAATATGAGTCCAGTTGCCAAATTTCTGAATTTTGATCATGTGAGCATGGGGACGCTTCAACAATCATGTGAAAAACAGTCATAAATCACTTTTTTCAGTGCCATTGTAACTTTGAATCTTCATGTAATTTTAGGATTTGTGTGGCCAACAGATGTGCTTTAAATGATATTTATGCAAAAATATTGAAAAAGTCAAAATAATGTACAAACTTCTAAGTACAGTGGAACCTCGGGTCGCGACCGTAATCTGTTCCAGGACTACAATCACAATCTGATTTGGTCATAACTGGAAGCACAACCGACTGCATGCATGAACAAAAAATTGTGGGGACTGCGCATGCGCAGAAGGGGAAATCGGCACAGAAAGGGAATCTGCTGCAGCTGGATTTGTTCACCATCCGATTTTTGAATCGTGACCCAATTGACAAATTGGGTGGATTTTTTGGGCGAAACCTGAATTGGTTGTGAACAGAAGTGGTCGTGACCCCAAGGTTCCACTGTACTATGGTATTTTATTAATTTATATTTCATATTTAAGGTTGACTGACCAGGCTTAAGGTTAACTCAGCCTTCCATCCTTCCAAGGTGGGTAAAATGAGGACCCAAATTGTTGGGGGCAATATGCTCTGTAAACCATTTTGAGAGGGCTGTAAAGCACTATAAAGCCGTATATGTCAAAGTGCTATTGCTATTTCTAAACCTATTTAAGTTAATATTGACCATGCTAACTTTTAGCAGGTCTTTGCAAGTTCTAACTGGAGATCAACTTAATTATTTCTTTTTTGCAAAAATGGTACTTTATTATTGATTCATGTTGGTAAATAAATAAGTTGGTTTAAATTTACTACCTATTTTATATGCTATATAATGCCATGGTATTTCATGTTCCAAACATGAACTGTGCCCCTCATTTTGCTGCTACATATTCTATTTTTATAGCCATTTTATCATTTTACTATGCATTACATTTTCCAGTACTTTTGACTGTACCAAGTAAACAAGATAATAAGTAGCTGCTATTAGTATGTTCTGTAGAAGGATGTTTTAAAGTTTTGTCTCTATTTTCAAACAAGGAAATTCTTACACAAGCAAAATAAAAGGATATATCCAGGCCTTTATATTGCTGACCTTTTAAATTTGCAGGTAAAAATCTCCCGCAAAAAAGTATCCTGCCTCTAGTCTCTTCCACATAGATGAAACGACCACTAACTCTCAACCTCTATTACAGAAAGCAAGAAAAGTCATCAAACACTGAACATCTTTCTTATTCACCTACCAAGCTTCTTTCATAATTCACTAACCACCATCTGTCACCAACCAAGTGTTTTCTTTAGATATATAAAAACACACACAATTTGACATATTTTAGATAGTGCAAAGCAAGCATGTTTTCTCTTATAAATTGTATCAGATTTTAGATCATTAAAATGGAATGATGCAAATAAAAAATCTGCTTAATACAAGGAAGTATATCAGCTGGATTCCAAAACATAATGCAGTATAGCTCATTTCATCAAATAAACTGTCACTATTAACTATAAAATCTAGTGATTACGAATTGTAGCTGGTTTCATTCTGTTTAGCAAAATTTTGAAACTTTTAAACACTATCAATATAACCTTCAATACAAAACAGTGTTTCATTGGACTTTAAATACGTTAATTAAGTATTAAAATCAATCATGTTAAAGTCTTAATATTTAATATTGTTAGATTATGTATCAAAGTGGTTTTATTATTTATTTACTCAAAACCTTTCCAGAATGCTTTATTTTGCATCAGGGGGTCTGTATCTCACAAGATAAATGCATTTGCAACATCAAATAAATTATATATAAAAGCATTTGTCTTAATACATGTCATTCAATATTAAATATCACCCAATGGTACTACCTTGAAGCCTCAATCCATTTTAACCAACCAACCATTTGTATTATTCAAATGTTGTCTATTAAACAGTAGTTTCTCAAGCATAGTTCAGAAATATGGATGTAAGAATAATAAGCATAAGAGTTTTATAATACTGCTTTCAGATTTAACTCTACATTACCTTAGTAGCACTTAAAGAAAAGATATAAATTCTGTCATATATTAAAATGTCAGAAATGAGAAATAATAAGAATTGCTTCAAATACACAGGAAACATGAATAGATGCTTATAAAATGGCACTGCAAGAACCACATGTATATAAAATAAAGGTCATTATATAATGTTTTATAGATCACAATCCAGTGTAAAATATAGTTACTGAAATCAACTTGAAGAACTGAAAATCTGCTTATCCAACCATCTTCTTTTTCCCTAAATATTTTAGCAATTCACTTGTTGCTAATACCAGACAATATATTTAACTGGGCAAGTTTTCAGAGAGATTGGTGGCAATTCAGTGCCTACCATTTTTGGAAGAAAATAATTATTTAAACTTATTTCAACAATTTTAAATGTGCATTTGACATTGAAATTCTTGCATCTGCACTGAAATGTAACATTTATTGTTAGAAAGTTAGATGGAAGAGAATCATACAACCAGCATACTCCTTTAATTTATTTATTTTCGTATGTTACTGCACTAGTGTTGAAGGTTATTCCATAGATGCATGATGATATAACATTTCTACTCCAAACAGCAATATGATTTTGAAGAAGTAACAGACTAAATGGTCCTTTAACAATTGTTTTATTCTATATGAAACCAATAAATGAGGTTGTCAGGGTATTTGAAGTGAGCTGTCATCAATGTGATCATAATAGCTAATTGCATTTATCAGAATAATTAACTTACTAAAACCCTTAAATTATATCGATGTAGGAGATGACCAGGTTGAGCCCGAGGGAGGGTCAAACACATGATCAATTTCCGAGTACAGCTGGAAAGTCTACTTCAACTCTAGAACACTGGCTCACTATTTGAAATCAGCTAGTGTGCATTCATAACCATCAAGGTAATTGCTGGCCATGAATAGCCAGAAAGTTGCAATGTGGTATGTATTGTGCCTGACTCTAAGAACACTAGAAAGTATCAGTTATAATTAAAAGGGCCAAGCTGAATAGAAAGAAGGAGAGTTTAAGCCAGTAGGAAAACATATAAATCCAGTTAGATTTTTCCATTTTAAGGAGACTAGTGTCATGGTGAAGGATTGTGTTTGAGAGCAAAGTGCTTTAAAGACGGTTCTCAAAAACCTGGACTGAATTAGATG